GTGCTGAGGGTCCTGTCTGACACTGGAGCAGCAGCACTTTGCAAACAGGCCCTGTCTGTGTCTGTCACCACCAGGAGATCCCAACAAGGGCTTTGGATTTGGGGAACGTGCTTTTGGAAAGACTTCTTGCTTCAGATGCAGGGAGTGCCTTGGCACTGCTGAGAGCTGCTTTGCAGAGCTGGAGAGTTATTTCCAGTAAGGACAGACATGACCTTGATGTGCCTCCTGCACTGCCCACCCTGCTCTGTCGGGGCTGTTGATTCCATAGAATGCTGGGCATTATTGACCTGGGAGTTATCTGAGCTCTTCAAGGACTGGGAGCTGCCCTAAGGATCAGTGTCAGCCCTGACTTGCTGGGTGAAGTCCCTTCTGAGTCAGAAGTGTGTGTTGAAGAGTTCATCCCTTCTTTCACCTTCTCATAATTGTCCCTCTTGTGAGACCTCTTGCTCTCTGAAGAAGTGGTTTTTCTGCTTTATCTGGGTGCTGTTTGAAGGGGATTTGGTTTTTGGTGGTTTTGGTTTTTTTTTTAGAAGTGCTTAGGAATGAGCTCTGCTTTCTGTTCTTCCTTTTTACATTAGGAATCCTTGTCCTATCCCAGATCTGAACAGACTTGACAGCTCCTCCTTCCATCACCTCAGGTTCAGGATGGCAGTGCATGTCATCAGCATTCAGGGCCTTTGGAGTTGAGACTTGTTAGAGATCTCTGGAGAATTCCTGCTGCCACTGAGCTGTCTGTCTGGCATACAAGCAGCGCTTGGAACTTGCTGTGGATCCTTTGCAGAGCTGAGGATCATGACAAATTGACTGGGGGGAAAAAAATGCTGAGAAAAAAGCATTTAAGAGGGCAGTGGGAGTTCATGTAGCTTGGCTCTAGACACTAGGAGCAGCACATCTGCTCCTTCCACCTTCCTCTGTGAATTTGGGCACCTTAGATGGGGCAGTTGGAGCCTGTGCCAGCCTTTGGATGTCTGGATGAGTGTCTGGGTGCTGTGTGCTCTGCAGGAACACCCACAGCCACCTCAGCATTGAAGTGGCCACTTGAAGCACTCACAGCTGGACATCCCCAAACAGCACTTGGGGACAGGGGAGGGCAGGGCTGACTGCAGAGCCACTTCCTCAGAGAGCACATAAGTGGTCCCTAATTAGGGAATTCTCTCATGGCATACTCAGAGAAAGCCCCCAGGGATGGCAGTGCCTTGTGTCCAGATAGAGCAGGACAGCCTGGAGCTGGAAATAGCTGTTGCTGTGCTGTGTCAAGGTGGATTGCCCAGACATGGAGTTATCAGCTGCTGAGAGCACTCTGGTGCTTCTGGGCTTTCTTCTTGGCACTCTGCAGCCTGTCACTAACCTCTTGTGGGCTCCATGAGATTGCTTCCCTCCTGGCTGTGGTGGTTTTTCTCCAGGCTGTCATTCCAGAGTGGCAGTGCCTGTGGGGCTGGGCAGGGTCTGAGTGAAGAGCCCTTTTCAGATGGTTGCTGTTCCCAGCAGGCTCATGTGGAACTGTGGTGTTGGATGTGCTGGATCCTTCTGGCTACTTCCCTTCCTTTCTTCTCCATGCCCGTTGCAAATCCCATTTAGATCCAACACAAGCATTGAAGAGAAGGTGCTCTGTCTCCCCTAAGAGACATGAGGAGGCTGCATTTCTCTGAATATCCTTTGAGGTCACTTTTCTGGGATATAAAAGCCTTCCAGGCTGCCCCCACCAACCTGATTTCTTGGATACTTCCCTTGAGGAACACTCTTCTCACTGAGGGGTTATCCCAGTGCAGTGCTGCTGGCAGCTGCTGCCTCGAGGTATGGGTGTAGCAAGGGCTGAACTGGCAGGAGAGGTGGTTTAAATGCACAACTCCAACTTTGCAATTTCCTCCTGCTTTGATAAAACCTTTATCTGCTGTGTTTAGTGCTTCCCTGCAGCCCTGCTAGAGAATGGAGGCAGGAGAAGGGGGAGCTGGGAAAGATGCACCAACAGTTTTCTGTGCAAAAAAAAAGCAACTTAGACCAAATTGTAAAGCCTCAGTTAAACATTAACTGTTAATTATGGCTTTAATGCAGAGTAAAGGTGACTGTGGATATAAATGACCTATGACCTGGCATGTTGCTCACTGTGAATTGATAGTTGGCCTTGTCATTGCAAAGGAGGAATTAAAATAGCCGGGACCAACAGGCCTGTGTGTGAACTTCAAAGGCAGCCTGTGCCTCGCTGAGTTGCTGCCAACCTGCTGTTAAGTGAAGGAAACAATCTTGGAGCAGGGTCCTGCCTGGATTGGGCTGTTCCCCTCCGTGCAGGAGCAGCAGAGGCTTTGAACCCCTTCCAGCTCCCGTGTCTGCAGGGCCCTGTGGTTCCCCTCCACTTCTCCTCTGATTGTGGAGCCATTAGGTGGAAATGAAAGAGATGAGCTGATCAAACACTCCCTGAAATGGCTTTAGGGTTTCAGTTTGAATATTTTTTTTAATTAGCTGCATGTAAAGACTTTATTACTTCAAATAGCAGCCACGAAACCCTCTCGGTTTGATCCTTTATTTTCCTGGTGCACACGAAGCATCAGTAGGTTTGTACCCAGTTAGACACCCCAAACCACAGCCAACAGCCAGTGGGAACATGCAGGGATCAGCTTTGAAGTATTCCTGTTGGGAACACATGAAGGAAGTGCTCTGTGAGGATGGGATCAGACTGACAAGGAGCAGAGTGGAAGTCAGTCGCATTTTAGCAGGAGCAAGGATGCTTTAGTCTGACAACACACAGAACACTGTAGCACATCAAGGGTAAGGATTTTTTTTTCCCCCCACACTTCAAGCCTTTCTTTCCTTGTCCTGGCTGATAGAACTTCATGCTGTGAACTGGAGAAATGATTTAAGCATTTCTCTCTCTGATTCATTTTCAAAGAGAAGAGATCAGCTCAAGTGTCCTCCAGTCGTTTTCCTTCTTTAGAAACTTCCTCTCCCCCTTCTCCTGCTCAGGGGAGACACTGGAAAGTGCTGCCAGCCTGAACTGGCTCTGGGTATCTTGTATGTCAGGAACATCATGTACCCCTAGTTTTGGAAGGTTTGGCAGTAAAAGGAGCCTGTGAAATGAGGCTCTTGGTGGGTGTGGGTGAACCAGGATGGTGACTCTGCCTTGAATCCCAGTTTGTGCGAGGCTGGAAATCTTCACTCCTGTGCTTCTGGCAGCCTTGAAAGTTCCTCTACGGTTTTGTGCTTTTATTATCCCAAACTTTAAATTGGGGACAGCCCTTGAGAGAGGCACATTGTGCTGATTCAGGCTCAGTTTTCTGGCAGGGTGGCCCTTGAGTCACGGGTTCCGTGTGGCTCCGAGCACAGGGACTGACAATCCCGACAATCCCGGCTCCTCTTGGGGTCAGCGGAGGGAGATGAGTCACTGGAGTGAGCAGGAGGCTGGGCTGGAGACTCCTGATGTTCCTCACAGCCCTAATTATCCAGTGATCCTGTGGTGCCTTTCAAGGATGTACAATGAACGAGGTGTGGATTCTGAGCATCATGTGATGCTTCATCTTCTCATCCTTCGCTCTGTAAAGCGGCCGTTTCCCTCACAATTCCTGGTTTCTTTGCCTCCTGGTTAGCAGCCTGTAAGCTGATATCCTCTAAGGGACAAGCTTCCTTATTTTGCTACCAGTAATTTGATTTCCATGTGCAGGCATGGCTGGTGCAGCTGGGCTGGCTGAGCCAGGGTGCTGGAAAAGTATAAAAACGGGTTTGGGCTCCTGGTATTCCTGAGCTGAGTCAGGCACCTCTTGGATGGGATCCTTTGACCCTCAGAGCTGCTGCAGGATACACAGAAGGGGTTATCCTGGGGAAAGGTTTCCAAGGATTTTCCTGATTTTTATCTGTTCAGTCTTTGCTGTTTATCCTGTGGGTGACAGAGGGACAAGGCTGATGTTTCCTCAGTGATTTGGTACCATTTTTACTGATAAATCAGGGAAGTACCCCCTGTATCATTATTTCTTCATTGGTACCTCAGAGGTGCCACTGGCAGCAACACCACAAGCAGCAGGATGTGACACCAGGCACAGGAGAAGGTGCTGGGTGTGAGGGCCAGGGAGGGGAAGGTCCTGGCTCTGCAGGAGCAGAGGGAAGGTGTGGCTGGGAGGGGCTTTGAAGGAGCAGATGAGTTTTTGGCAGCGAGGTCAGTAGAGCCATTAGAAGGTGAGGCAGGAGAGCCAAGTCCTGATCAGTGACCCAAGAGGTTCCCCTTTGAAATTCAGAGCTGGGGAAGGAGGAATCACAGGGTAGAAACACACCTGGTTCTTATCCAGAGAAAGCTGATGCTGCACCAAGGTGCTGGTTTCCTTCTGAAAAAAGGAGGGAGGGATGGGGTGGGGGCTGAGATGAGAGAAAGGGGCTTAGCTGGATATGGAATCTGCCATTTCTCCATGTGTGCCAGGGCTCCAGGACTGGTGAGGACCCAGCTGTAAGTGGGAGCAATGGGTTGAGGGCAGGTAACAACACCCAAAGCACTGGGGATGCTCTGTGATCCATCCCAGGCCTCCCAGTGCTCCTGTCCTGCGCCAGGAAGGAGCTGGGAGCAGGGAAACGTGGGGAGAAACAACAGGAAAATGGGATGAGGAGAACAGGGAATCTTCTGGGAGACACAGGACTGTCTCCAAAGGCAAAGAGTGAGTATCCAGGCTTTGGTTTCCCAGAATAGAAGTGGAAAAGCACAAGTGCTGGGAAGCGTGGATGCCCCTGTGCAGGAAAGGGGGTGGCCTGAAGAGTTCTCTGGGGCTTCCCTGAGCTGGGCTGGCCACTTTTGAGCTCTTGGCACTTAATACTCAGTTTTATCCAAGTCCTCCACGAGGAAGTTGAATGGATTTTATGGGGATTTCCCTGTGCCTGTTTCACCTCTGTTAATCCAGAGAATTCCAGGTGTTTCTTTCATGGCCACTGGAGCTGTGCTGGTAACCACGGACCATTTAATTCTGAAATGGATTAAACTGTGCAGGTGATGTCTGGGAGACACTGACTGTGATGTTTTGTCATCCTAGGACCTTTCCAACTGCCCAGCCCTTGGACAGGAGGGAGGCCCACCTGGGGGCACGTGGAGATTCCAGCATCACGTTTTGGGAGAAGGAGCAGGAGCACTGTCTGCTTTGAGAGATGAAGGGAAAGTTCCCATTTTTGTACTACACAAACTGATTTGAAGTTGGGTTTGTTTGCTGTGTTTTGAGACATTTTCCAGAAGAATTAAGTCCTGCTGTCAGAGAGAGGGAAGTGTTCCTTCTCTCTGCCCTGACATCCTACCTCCTGCAGGTTCCAGGCTGCTTTTAGGGAATCAGTAAGTGGGAGGAGGAGGCCGTGAAGTTTTGTATTTGCACAGGCTGTTCTTTAAAAACTTAGGTTTGATATTTTTGTTCTGAGAAAATAAACCAACCTGAGCATTAAGGCTGTACCAGTTTATTGTGCAAGAGGGATTAATGCCTGAAAGGAGCTGGAATTTGGGAATGGGGTCTGGTTTGTTGCTGTAGAGCTGACTCCCTTTGTGGGCAACAGCGTGTTGTGCTCTTTGTTTTGGCTGGATGTTCCTGTGAGTGTTGGTGCTAAATTTAAAATTGCTGAAGAATGCCAACTTTGTCCCCTGCACATCCTGTGCCTCCTCCAGCTTCCCTGGAGTTGGGTTCTTTGGGAGCAAATTCCACTGTGTGCTCATGTGGGGGTGAGGCTGGAACTGAATAAATGCAGAGCCAAAGATGCTCCAAGGGCTGGAGCCCCTCTGCTCTGGAGCCAGGCTGGGAGAGCTGGGGGTGTTCACCTGGAGAAGAGAAGGCTCTGGGGAAACCTTAGAGCTCCTTCCAGTCCCTAAAGGGGCTCCAGGACAGCTGGAGAGGGACTTGGGACAAGAGACTGAGGGACAGGACAAGAGGCAATGGCTTCCCACTGCCAGAGGGCAGGGATAGATGGGATATTGGGAAGGAATGAGGGTGGGGAGGCCCTGGCATTGGTTGCCCAGAGAAACTGTGGCTGCCCCATCCCTGGAAGTGTCCCAGGCCAGGTTGGACGGGGCTTGGAGCAACCTGGGCAGTGGAAGGTGTCCCTGCCCATGGCAGGGGGTGGGACTGGATGAGCTTTAAGGTCCCTTCCAACCCAAACCATTCTGGGATTCTGTGAATTCCACAGCAGGGGCTTCCCAGCTGTTCACCTGTCCCGGGTGCTCTTGTCTGTCCACTTGTCCCTGCTTTTTTCCGGGAGGGTCTAAAACCGATCCCCCCAGTCAGTCCCAGTTTACGTTGCCGAGCCCTTTCCCGGCCCGACACTAGATGGCAATGCCTCCTTCCCAATGCTTCTCCAAAGGCTGGTGATCGGGATTCCTTTCTGATGGGCTTTAAATCTGGATATTGGTGTTTTTCTGCACCAGTTATCCCGATAATTTTGCTTGGGAGCTGGTGCCTCTTCCCTAAAAGAAGTGGAGAAACTTTTCCTGGGATAAGACATAAACACAGAAGTTTTTCCAGCAGGAGCCAGTGCCTGTCGTGGAGCTCCCTGCCATGGGCTGTGCTGGCACTTCCCTGCCAGCCCTTGGGATGATCAAGTGTGGGCAGCTGGATCCATGAGTGGAAACTTGGCACATCCCTGTCCACCGATGACCTTGGAAAGGCAGCACCTCCTGCTCCCCACACTGGGGACCAAACCCAGCGGGGAAGGCGTTTCATCTGCTAAATCTGAACTGCAGGACTGCGTGTGGGTGGTGTGGCTGCTGTGGCACACTGAGGAGCTTTCCAAGCCTCTGGAAGGTCTTCTCCAGTCCTGCTGCCAGTGGCAGAGAACAGCAGCCACTTCCCTGTCACTCAGCCCACGCTGGTGACTTGTATTTGATCCAAGGCCCCTCTCCAGGTTAACGGGCAGTTTGCTGCTATCTGACACTTCCCATGGTGAACTAGACCTTGCTGAAGTGCATTTTTCCACTTTTCCTTACCAAATTATGGCCAAAAATTACTTTCCTGAGCTTTATTTATTTAATTTTTATTTTGTTGTTACTGAAGGAAGAAATACAATCTTTCAGCCTCTGGGCAAAATCAAAGGTGTGTTTGGACCTGACTTGGCATTAAAACAGAAATACAAATCCTTAACTTAAAGAGACAAAAATCTCTACAGAGAACCACACTTTCTGGTTGGTAGTCAAAAAACACAGGCTTGGAGAAGTTTCCTACTGGAATTTTTGATTTTGGCCAAAATGCCTCCCCTTTCCCCCCCTCCCATATCAAATACTTTTTGACAAACACCCTCAGTGTGTTCCCTGGAGAAGCTGCTCCGAAGGTTGGTCCCAGCTCAGCAGTGCTCTTGTATTTCCAGTTTGGGTTTATCAAATGTCAACCTCCAGCTCCAAGTTTGCTCAATTCCAGGATTATCTGATCTCAGGTGATGTTTTCCTGGTGTGGGTGTTTGCCCAGCCCTGAGGTGTTGTGAGTCCCCTCAACCCACTGATCTGGCTCCTTTGGGGCTGTGTGGGGTGTGAATCACAGCCCCTGTGTGTCACCTGTGGGTGCTCCTGTGTCACCTCTGCATCTCCCAGCCTGTTGTCCCCACACCACTGAGCCCCCAAGGACACGATGAGGGCAGTGAGACCCCACTCTGTGCCCATCCCCTCTGCTGGCAGCTGGCACAGAAACCCTGGGGAGCCTTGGTGGGTGTCCCTGTCCCCACCACAGTGTGGGCTGTGCTCTGCTGGGGACGAGGGTGGGCTGAGACCACTGGCAGGTAAGCAAAAGATGTGGGATGGCAGAGCTGAAGCTGGGCTGAGACATCCAGGGCACGTGGAACGGGGATGCTGGAAGGTGCCCCAGGTTGTGGCACCTCCTGTCTGGTCACAGGTCTCCTCCCTCAGCCTGGGGGTGCTGTGGTGGGAGATGCAGCTTCCACCCCTCCAAACCTTCCTGCCACGTGTGGGGATGTTGGTCCCACCAGCTCTGCCTGGGTGGGTGCTCAGCACCCTCTGCCAAGCCTGGAGCAATCCTGCTGATCCCAGGGGCCTGGAGGCTTGGGCACCCTCCCTCAATCATCCCTGTGCTGCTGGCAGGGCAGAGGGGAGGCAGAACTAGTGGCTGCAAGCAGGGATTGAGGATCCCTGTGGTGCTGGAGCCCCTCAAGTCACTGGGAACCCCATTCCCCCGGGTCAGAACAGGAACCAAGGACCCCCGTGGCACTGTAGCCCTTGGGCTGAGTCAGGAACTGAGGACCCCCATAGCACTGAAGCCCCTGTGCTGGCACAAGGACCAAGCACCCCATGGCACTGGATCCCCTTGAGTCACCGGTCACCTCGTTCTGCCAGGCAGGGACAGAGACCAAGGACCCCCATGGCACTGGAGCCCCTTGAGTCACAGGGCACCCCTTACCCCTGGGTCAGGACAGGGACCAAGGACCCCCTTGGCACTGGAGCCCCTGGGGGCGACAGGGACAAAGGACCCCTATGGTGCAGGAGCCCCTTGAGTCACCAGGCACCACATTCCCCTGGGTAGGGACAGGGACCAAGGACCCCCTTGGACAGGCACTGAGAACCCCCCTGGTGCTGAAGCCCCTCGGGCAGGTACCCCCGTTCCCCCGGGACAGCACCGGGGACTCCCTCACACCCCGTTATCCCGAGGGCCGGCTCTGGCAGTCCTCTGGCAGCCCCTCGGTGCCGCCGGCCCGGGGCCGAGCCCCGCCGGGCACGGAACGCTCCGTGCTCCGCTCCCGGCCCCGCGTTTGTGTTGGCACCGGCCGGCGAGCGGGGCCGGTTTAATTGGCAGTTGTGTTTGTGGCCAGGGTGTTATGAAAAGGTTTTCTGTCTCCCTCTGTAAGTTCCCCTGAATATGTTTTCACTCTTAATATAATATTCACTTCATTATTAGCTGAAAGAGGCTCTTTTCAGAGAGGGGGTTTTTTCTCCCCCCCCCCCCCACTTCCAAAAATATATTAAACAGCCCCTTCATGCAGCGCTGCGCTGAGGGCCGGGATTGTCTGCCGGAGGGGAAGTGAGAAACCCGACGGTAAATGGGATTTACACAGAAATTCCTTTCTTCCCCAGCGTGCCGGCGGCGCTGGCCGGGGGAGGGAGGAGGCGTCTGATGCTTACGGGGTGTTTTGGGGGTACCTCGCGTCCCCACCCAGTGTGGTCACTCAGGGGATCCCCCCCCGGCAGAGCAAATGCTCCCAGAGGCTCCCGGCACCCGTTTCCAGATGCAAACCCCTCCAGCGGCGTCGGGACCCGGCCGGAGGGAATCCCGTGTGCCGGCATTCAGTGCCGGAGGTGTTTCCAGCATCTGCCAGGTTTTGGGAGCTTGTTCTCTGCTGGGTGGATGCTGGGACGTCCCGGGGCTGGGTCAGGCTGGGTCAGGCTGGTGTCTGCCAGGTTTTAGGAGCTTGTTCTCTGCTGGGGGGATGTTGGGACGTCCCGGGGCTGGGTCAGGCTGGTGTTGTCCGTGGGCTCGTGCCATGCCAGCCCTGGCTCCGGGAGCTTTTGGGATGCCCGAAGGCAGCCGGTCAGAGCGGGGGGGACATTGGCCGGGCAGACGGGAGCCCTGGGCTGGCGCTCGCAGTGGTGCTGAGGGGCACTGGGATCCCTGGGGACTCCCAAATCCCCGCTCCATCCCTCGAGGAGCTGCCGTGAAAGCCCAGAGGAGCCCGGAGCAGATTTTCTCTTTCATTGAAAGCAGGGTAAACACAAATCCCCCCTCCCCACTCTACACCCACCCCCTTTAGGACCCTTCCCCCGCTCCGCTGCCACCATTCCCGGCCATCCTGCGAAACGCATTAGGGCCGGTGCCACGCGCTGATGAGTATCCAAGGTCTGTCCCTAGCTGGGAACAATTAGCAGTTGTTTTGGAACGACTGTTTGCTGTGGCTCCGGAGCCGACACGAGCACCCCTTTCGGAGCAGGGACCGCGGCCAAGGGAGCTCCCAAGGGATGACACAGCTCTCAGTTAAGGATGCTTTTGGGATGGGTCTGCCGTGTGCATCCCCAACCCCTCAGCTGATCAAGGAAGTGGGAGCTCTCTGATGTTGCTGGACTTCTTTTTTCGGCTTTTGGTAAAAAAATAAAGAGCTCTTTTTCCAGGGTCTTTCTGGTCCATGCCCCCCTTCCCATGAATGCATCGTGCCCAGTGTATCCCAGTGCCTCCCCTGCCTCTCCCCCAGTGTGCAGCATTCTCTTGTGTAAAGCC